TATGTTTTAGATAGTTTGACTCAATTTTTTTAAAAAAATCATAATGAGTTAAAAAATTCACAAGTTATATATATATATATGTATGTATGTATGTATGTATGTATGTATGTTCGAATTTATCGAACCAATTTTGTTATAGTTTTTATTTTAACTTATTGACTTCAATATATTTCTATAATTTAGGTGATTTTTTTTGTATATTTTTATATTTATTCTACACTCTCAATCTATTATGTGTGTGTGTGTGTATTGGTTAGAAATTAACTATATATAGATTTAATTTATATTAATCAGCAAAAATAAAATTTTTTATTAGTATTACATCGTACGAATTGTTAACCGTACGTATGTAACGATTGTCCGTCCGCAAAATAGCGCATGTATCTAACTAGTTATTACTATATGAGGCGAGGCCCAAAGTGCGGGCCTAGCTTAGCTTTTTCTTTCTTTCTTTTGTTTTTTTTCAATAAGTTATTTTTATTGTTCTTTATTATTAATTTTGTGTTAAATTTACAAAGAATAATCTTTATTTTTTTTTCATGCATCATGGCAATGAAAAAACATGATTTTTTTATTTGTCATTTTTTATTTTTTTTGCTTTCAAAATTTAAGATGATTTTTTTCATTTGTCATTTTTTATGGAAACATCCAATTAATTTTTAGTTGTTTTTTTGTATAATTTTATTTGTTAAGATTTTTTTTCTATGCATGGATTTTTAAATAAAATTTTAAAATGTTATAATTTTTTCTATTTTAAAATATATTAATATAATTTATATGATGAATTCTTATATTTTTTAAAATAAGAGCAACATTCATATATATATATATATATATATATATATATTTCAAATACTTTGTCTTAAATTAAAAATAAATTAAAATAATCTATTGAAAAAATAAAATTTACATGTATTATTCAAAATAACAAATCATTTTTTTTTGGTTTAAAATTCATGAAAAACATAAAGACAAAGTTAATTAAAGATAAAATTTTGATTAAAAAGTTATTAAATTTAGTTTTTTTATTTTACTTTTAATTCGATATATTTATGTAGACTTACAATATAATATGAGGTATTAAATTAAAATAAATTGATTCTGTCCGATTATACGATATTGTACCGGCAACAAACTAGTTGCGATGGTTTTCAAAACCTGGTAGGCAACTTACATTGACCTTGAGGTTTATAAGCAAGGAAATGTTGCCGGTTACTAAGAAAGTATATATTTAACCCCATGGGTGTAATTCCTTTAATTAAAGGAAGCTGCTTTTCCTTTGGAATTCATGAGTTGGACCATATATATATATATATACATATATATTGAGAATCTAGAAAATATCTATTTAGTTGGTTATAAAACCAATTGTGAGAAATTAAACTTCAAAATCTAGCGTACAAAATAAATAAATAAATAAAATATGAAATGAAGCATCATGGATCGTTCTTTTTAAGTTTTGCTTTTTTTTCTTCTTACACAAATTGGTTATTATTCATTAGATTCCTAAAATGAGTCACTAAATTCTACAATCATTTTTATTTTTTCTTTCTCAAGGATTCCTAATTTTTGCAAAATACTAAAATATACTGCTATGGTATATTATCAATTCATTTGTTTTACGCTATGACATTTATTTTTATTTGAAAACTGGATGAAAGGATCAAAATCTTAACAAAACCTATAATAGAAGGTGGAAACCACACACACAAACAAAAAAAAAAAATATTAGGACAAAATCCATAAGAATCAAGAGTATAGGATAAAACAAGCAAGATCCGCATGCTGGTGTGTCTGTTTATAAAAGATGTTTTAATTTTTCTTTAATTAACTTATGTTAAAATATAAATGTATTACAATTAATTTCATTCGCTACTTTCTCTTTTTCAAAAAGATTTTTTCTTTTTTCTATTTATATATATTTAAAAATAACTAATTCATCAAAATCTTAAAAACTATACGAGTAAGAACTTTCCTGAATTTTAATTCATTTGAAATTGAATTCTTGAATGTCAAATTTGGTTTTTGAAGTCCCTGAATTTTTATTCATTTATTTATTTGAGATTTAATCCACCTTTTAGTTTTTTATATTTATTCTAAACAATAATAATCGCATAAATAGCTCCATGATGAAAATCGTTCAACGAAATTTATACGGGGCTCTTAAAAAAATATCGAGATCATTCCGAATTATTTTATTTTTTTCTTTCTTTTCTGTATTTTTAATTTTCAAAAAATAAACAAATATACCTTTTGACGTTAAATTTTTTTAGGATTTTTGTAAACAATAGATTAGATTTTTATCAATGTGTGTGCAAAACTTCATCTTAAAATAACAATAATTATTTTTTTTTTTTTGAGGAAAGGATGATAGTTAAAATTAATTAGATGAATTAAATTAAAAAAAAAAATTTTAGGGATTCCATATACTAAATTTGAAGTTCATGGACTCAATTTCAAATGAGTTAAAGTTCAAGAGAGATTTGACCTGTTGAGCCAGCTTTAAATAATGTTCTTTCCTAAAATATCTTTAATTGATAAAATTTTTATTTATTCTAATCTCCACTAGTAAAAAAATCAATAGTTTTTATCCTTTATTCTTTCACATAAAAATTTCAAAAGGAGATTTTTTTTTATGTGAAAAAATTCATTATTGTAAGCACTTTATTGCACATCAAATTTTTAGAGTAAAATATTTATATTAGTATGTTATTTTTCTCATAATTGTTTTAGATTTGATTGTTAATGCTCTTAATGGTTTTTTTCTTGACTTATCAACTTCATTTGGATAGATTTTATCCTTAAATTAATATTGATTCTATGGAATGCAAGATTAAATCTCATAATTAATAGTTTTAACAAAATGCTATATGGCATAACAATTGATTATTGTTAAACTATGAGAAAAGTCAAAATGGATAATTTTTCTGAGAAAGAGAAAGATTAAATGTCATTGTGTCAAAATTTTCAATTAATGTATCTTAATTAACTCAATTGATGAAATATTTTCTCTCCAAAAAATTTCATTTCATGAAGTTTATAGTATCCATATCAAAGGAAATAATTTTTACCGCCAAAAATCTAAAACTTGAAGTATTTTTCTAAACGTAGAGAGAGAAGTTGATTTTTTGAAATTCCCTAAATTTTCAAGATTAAAATGATGTTATACATATCGAAAGAATTAAAGGGCACTTTGTTGGTCTGAGCCGTGGAGCATTTTGTTTCTAAATTTAAGATGTGAAGGCAATTTTTTTAAACACCAAAATTTTGTGGCTCAATAACTTTTTCAATGAAAATTTTACTCCTAACATTAATAAGATGAAAAAATTAGATAAATCTTTTTATTAATCGATAGTAATATTATCATTCAAAATTTAAGTTACTGAACACTATATACATAAATAAAAAAAGTTAGTTTTTCTTAATACTCAAAGGTCAATAATTTTTTTTCCAGGAATCGAAGTCCTAAGATTTTTTTTTTGAATTTTTTTATTTTAAAATTAATTTACAATTTCAGGAATAGAAAATCTTTTATGTAAATGATTAATTAAAATTAAATAAAAAAAATTTACTTATATAAACATTCAAATTTTACGAGATTTTATTTTTTTTTCAATTTCCAAGGAGGAAATAAAATTTTAAATATTTTTTAAAAGAAATTTATAAAAATAATAGATAAGCAGGCCTATATCAATAGGCCCGTATGCTTAGGCCTAACTAGACAAGCCTGCATGCTTGGGCTTAGTAAGTCAGGGGCGAGCATCTGGGCATGAAAATCCAGGTTCGTTTTAAGTAAAAGCAAGCACACGACAAGTCGTCTATATGGATGAAGCGTCGTTCTCCATCGTCTTCTTCAATGATCGTTACTTTTTTTTTTTTTTTTTTTTTTTTTTTTACATCAGCTTCGGTCAAAACACCTCAAATTTATCGCCACAGTCTCTATAAACCCATTTCAAACCTTAAAATCAATTTCGATCTATCTTAAAACCCCTCAAAATCTAATAAAAAAATTAAAGCCAAAATTATTTTCGGTCTTAGATTTCTTTTTTCCGATGCCAAATGGATTTATGATGGAAATTAATAAATTTATCGCATCAAGTACAATCGCATGACCTTTTTTATCCGGATTTGCGCCTGAAAAAGTGATGGCCGGCGACTTTCTGTCTCTCCTTCTTTCTGTCTCCTTCCACGAAGAGAGGGTCGAAATGGATCGAAAATAAACTACAAGGACTGAATCGAAAAATCACAGTGTAAAACCCAAAATGTCCTTAAAGTCATGAAAATAACAAAAATGCCACAAGAATGGGGATGATATGCGTGCGCGTGAACTTAAAAATCACTGTACAGTAGTATCTTCTAGTTGTTTTTAATATTAATATTAATTAATGTGACATTAGCCCATTTAAAGACTTTAGAATTCCACGAATCTAAAAATATATAAAAAAGAATTTCATCGCAAAGACCAAATTACTCCGGAGTTGTTGTATTTCGGAGAGTCTTCTAGCTTCCACCAAATGCAAAAGAAAGCAAAAGAAAACCCTAAAAAACAATTTGTCACTGATTAAACTATGCTATGCTGTATATCAATATCTTTTCTTTGCTGAGAATACAGAACCTTTCCGCACTTGTATTCTTCTTTAGCATCAGTAAAAATCACAAAAATCTGCAGCAGCAGCAGGAGAGTCAGCGTTGCACAGAACAGGTAATTCCTCTTCAATTCCCAGATTTACATCTAAAACCTTCTCTTTGCTTGCCCATTTCCTTTTCTTATTGCCTACTTGTCTTGCTAACTGTTTCTTCTTCTAGAATAGTCATGCCATTTTACTCTATACCGAATCCCACTCACTGGAATTTTTTTCCCCAAATGTTTACGGTTTACAGAAATTTGCAATTGTATATTCGTCATAACCTTGTTTAGATTGATAATGATTCGTTTTATTGTGAATAACAAGTGATCATTCAGTTCTCAATGCATTGATTCCTATCAGGTTGCTTGCAAGATGCCCCCCAAAACGGCACAAATCCGCCTTGTGAGTTCGCATCGCGAGGTTTATGAACCATGTGATGATTCGTTTGCACTTGTCGATGCGCTTCTAGCTGATCGAACTAATATAGTAGATCATTGTCCGAGATTATGTTTGGAAGTGGGTTGCGGTAGTGGTTATGTTATTGCTTCTCTAGCTCTTATGCTTGGACAGGAGGTTCCTGGGGTTTACTATATTGCCACTGATATTAACCCTCATGCAGTGAGTGTGACCCGTGAGACGCTTGATGCTCATGGTGTTGATGCCGAGTTAATATGCATGGATATTGCATCTGGGCTCGAGAAGAGGCTGGCTGGAATGGTGGATGTGATGGTTGTGAACCCACCATATGTGCCGACGCCTGATGATGAGGTGGGTCGTGAAGGAATTGCCTCGGCATGGGCTGGAGGGGAGAATGGCAGAAGTGTCATTGATAGGATATTGCCTGTTGCTGATAGACTTTTGTCGGATGAAGGATGGTTATACATGGTTACTCTTACAACAAATGATCCTTCACAGATATGTCTTCTGATGAGAAAGAAGGGGTACGCTTCTAGAATTGTTGTCCAGAGATCAACAGACGAAGAGAGCCTTCATATTATCAAGTTTTGGCGTGATTCTGATATTCAATTGGATACAAAGGAGATCATAACGACTACCAAATCAGTTTCTGCAAGGGTCATGGACTCACTATCTTCACAGTTTCCTCAATTGCCATTCTGGAGAAGTAGCAACAGCAATTGTTTATGAATCGGAAGGTAAACAAAAAAGTTTGTGTTTTTGTCTTTGGACGCTAATTTTTCCCTGCCTCTTCTATATTTCTCTCATAGTTATCTTAGACTTAGTTGTACCCTATATGTTGATTTTGGTGCCTGCCAAAGGGTTTCATGTCAGCAAAAGCTCGGAACACCTACTCTCCAATATCTTACTTTTCTTTGGTGATTTGGCGGCGTACTTTCATATTGTGGTTTATGAAGGCCTTATAAAATAGATCAGGACTGAGGGTTGGCCAAACCAATCGGTGAAACTGATTACGTCTGATATACTCTGATATACTCTTCTGTTGTTTACATTTCCTTTCCCTCTTTCCATAAGATGAGAGAAAAAAAGAAATGAAAGCATTTCTTGCTAATGGTATACAAGATTTGAGAGGTTCAATGACGGAGAAAAGAACAATAGCTGAATAGCGTGCTCACGAAGTCCCATCATGAGTAAGCATCACAGAATAATTCATTTTGCCAGATCCAGATGAAATTCTTCCAAGATACCCTGCAGACAAAGAAATAAGAATAGAAATAGGACCTTATATCAGAGATTCTTAACTCAATTCTGATGAGAAGCAACAAGGAACAATCCAAACAGAAAGTAAGCGTCAGCCCCCAGTAAGATTAATTAGGAAACCACCAATGAGGAGTAGCAATTTCCTTGTCTTGCCTTTCCTTTTTATATTTTCTCATTCCCCTCTTGAGTATTACTAAATTATAACTTTGGCAAAAATTTTAAATTTTCTTTTTTCTAGGCAAGTTGATGTGTGGTTGCATGTAACCTTACATTTCAAACGACTATTTTTGCATTTGAGAGTTATAACTCAAGTTCGCAGTCCTCTCTTTGAGCTAGTTTCAGAGTTTATGTATCTCATTGTTGAAAAACCGCACTAGTACCCCTCATTGGCAGTATGTTTGGAGGAAAACTTATTTTCTTTCATTGATATCAGAACCTCAGCTCATTTGTTGGTCTCAGATGCATTAGTTTGTTGAGTCCAAACTGCTTCTGAAGATAATTCCATCAAGATATTGTTAGGCAGTGGACCCAAATCCCACTCTCAGAATAAAAGAAAAGAAAAAGGTAGAGAAAACTAACACCAAGGTCCAAGAGTTTTTACATAGAAAACCTCTTTAAATTTTAGGAGTAAAAACCATGAGACCAAGCTAGTATATCCTTCACTATTTAATAATGGGCAGTACAAACAGAGTCTCTCTAGTACATCTAGAGAATTACAATAAACATCAAATTTGAACACAATATAATTGCAAATTTTGACACAACAATTTTCTCTACCTCATCCATTCTTTCTTAATTTCTCTCTTTTTCTATCTTGCAAAAAATGAATTCAGAATAAGCTTATTTATAGGCTGTTATTGGAGTGTGAATGGCTGTTACATTTGTTGAATAAATACAGCACCACCTCAACTTTTTTCTTTTTCAACAAATGTTGCAGCTCTGTATGTATTTACTTCAACAAAAACAACTCTGCATGCCCTGCATGCAATCTTCAACAATTGTTGCTTTGACATTCAACAATTGTTGCTTCTTTACATGGGTTGCATGAAATTTTTCTTTAACAATTATTGCACTTTTGAATTTTGATTTAATGTTGGTGGGTCTAAGATGGGTGGTACCCATCAATTCTCCCTCTCGCCTATGTGGGAGGGATTGTCATTCTGGTAGCTGAATGATAGTACTTAATTATTTTTTTTTGTAAGAATTTTGTTAGCATGTCAGATCCATTTTTGTTAGTATGGATCTTCTCAAGTTGTAGCAACTGTAGCTCTAGTACGTCCCTAATCCAGTGATATCTCACATCAATATGTTTTGACCTGGAATGAAAGGAGGAATTCTTACCAAGATGAATAATGCTCTTGCTATCACAAAATAACTAATATTTGTCTTGTTGAAATCTAAATTTATGAAGAAACTTCTTCATCCATAGCAATTCTTTACAAGCTTTTGTTGCAGCAATAAATTCTGTCTTAGTAGTAGAAAGTGTTACACATTTTTGTAGTTTAGATTGTCATGATGCAGCTCTTACTGTAAAAGCGATCAAGTAACCAGCTATAGACTTTCTTGAGTCGACATCACCAGTCATATCTGCATTTGTGTATCCAACTAACACAGGTTTGGCATCACTAGAACATAAGCATAATTTGGATGTTTCTCATAGATATATGAAAATCCACTTTGCTGTTGTCCAATGTTCTTTTCCTAGATTAGAAAGAAATTGATTCAATATGTTGATAGCATGAGCAATATCTGGTCGTGTGCACACCATAGTGTACATCAAACTACCAATAGTTGAAGCATAAGGAACTCGTTCCATCTATGCCGTTTCTTTCTCTGTAGAAAGACTTTGATTGGTACTTAGTCTAAAGTGATTAGCAAGAGGACAACTAATCACTTTGTTCTTGTTAATACTGAATCTTTGAAGTACTTTCTTGATGTATTTCTCTTGTGACAACCATAACTTCTTGGCATTCCTGTCTCGGATGATCTGCTTTGCTGGTCCTAAGTCTTTCATGTCAAAAGACTTACTTAACTGCTTCTTCAGTTTATCAATTCGAGAAATATTTTTGTCAACAATTAATATGTCATCTACATAGAGTAAAAGAACAATGATATCATCATCAGAGAATTTCTACACAAAAATATAATGATCAGAAGTAGCCTTTTCATAGCCTTGTTCTCCGATAACTAACTCAAACTTCTCGTAACACTGTCTCGGTGCTTGTTTCAATCAGTGAAGACTTTTCTTCAATTTACATAGTCTTTTTTTCCTTTTTCCTTGAAACCCTTTGGTTGTTCCATGCATACCTCTTCCTCTAAGTCTCCATCAAGGAAGATTGTCTTTACATCTATCTACTTAACCTCCAAATAAAGGCTTACTGCTAAGCCTAGTACTGTGCGAATTGATGTTATCTTTATAACTGGAGAAAAAATTTCATGAGAGTCAATACCTTTCTTTTGTTCGAATCCTTTGACAACCAGTCTAGTTTTGAATCGTGGAATCGAGTTGTTTTGTTCATGCTTCACCTTAAACACTCATTTATTCTTCAATGTTTTTTCTCCTTTTGGCAACTTCACTAGCTGAAAGATTTTGTTCCCATGCAAGGACTTGATTTCATCTTGCATGACATTGATCTATTTTTGCTTTTGTTCATCCTCCATGACTTCTTCAAGCTTTTTGGTTCTTCTCTATGAGTTCGCAGCACATTCTGGTTGTTTGAGTATTTAGTAGAGGGTTGTCTATCTCTAGTAGATCTTCGTAATGGTATTGGAGAATTTGCTATTACTAGTAATTGATTTTGAACACCATTATCTTCAATCTCTATGGAAACATCTGCATCGTTTGCATTTGGTAAATCATTTTGAAATTCAACTTCAAATTGCCTTGGCACCATTTTTTTTGGGGGGGGGGGACTAATTTCAAGTATATTGAATCACCATCGGAGTTGGAGGCATTTTTCTCGATTTTATCAATATCCTCAATAGTAGGTCTTTAACAAACACTGCATCATGGCTTCTAACAAGTTTCTTCTAAGACTACATCATAGAATTTATAGCTAAATTGATCTTGGTCATAGCCAATGAATACACACTGTTGTGTCTTGACATTTAAGCTTATACTTCTCATCTTTTGAAATGTGCATAACTGTCTTGCATCCAAACATTCGTAAATGATCATAAGAAACATTCTTTCATGATCATACTCTCTCAAGAACATCATACTGTAGAGTATTACACTGAGAGATTTAATACATAAATAGCTACACTTAAAGCCTCATCCTAGAATATCTTAGATACCTTTGCATGTCAGAGTAGAATTCTGACTCTCTCTATCAAAGTCATATTCATATTCTCTACCATGCCATTCAACTACGTGGTCTTTGGAGGTGTTGTTTGATGTTAAATCCCTTTCTCTTCATAGTAGGCTTAAAAAATGGACTAATGTATTCTCTGTCATTGTTTGTTTGGATGCACTTCAACTTCACAATCTATCTCTCAATTGAGACTTGAAATTGTTTGAATACATCTAACACCTCATCTTTTATCCTCAAGGTGTAGACCTATATCTTCCTAGAATGATTATCAATAAAAGTCACAAAGTATTGAACACCATGAAGTGACTTGGTTCTCATTGGACCACATAAGTTTGAGTGTATTATATCCAGCAGATTTTTCATTCTAGGAGGAGGAGCATTTTTGAAAGCAACTCTATTCTGCTTTCCTGCTAGATAGTCTGCATACCTCTTCAAATGTACTTTATCCATCTCAGCCATCACATTCGGTTTAGCTAGTCATGTCATTCCTTTCTCACACACATGGTTGAGCCTTCTATGTCATGATTCAATTGTATTGTCTTTCTCCATAGCATTCACCATTTTTTTGGAGAGCTTTGCCTGCATCAAATATAATGTTGAACACCTTTTACCTCTAACCATTACCAGAGAACATTTGGTGATTTTCCACTAGCCATTGATGAAAGTGTTGTAGAATCCATTATCATCAAGTTTACCAAGCAAATATTTGAGATATGCCAAACATCTCTTAAGGCTAGTCTCGTGCCATTTTTTGTTACCAAGCAAACATCTCTTTTGTCAATAATTTTTATTGAGTTGTCATTTCTCATCTTTATAGCACCGAAGTCTCCTAGTGTGTAGACTGAGAAGAAATATTTTTGTGATGTGGCATGTATGGAAGCACCACTGTCAACCACCTAACATGTTTCTTGAGATGCCAGATTTGCAGCTTTATCCTCGCATACAATGAGGAATGCTTCAATAGCGGCAACTGCTCGTTCGTCATCGTTGCCATCGTGTTTTTTTTTTCATTTTTTCCTTTATTATGCTCTTGGTCTCTTTTATATTTTTTATAGAATCTTTTGATGTGCCTTTTGTTCTTGCAGTAGTGGCACTCAATATTGGCATATTTGTTAAATCTTCATCTGCTTTTGTCCATGTGCTTTGAATCTCTAC